CGTTTTTTCACCGTTTTTCGTCGTTTTTTCCCCATTTTTTCACCGTTTTTCGTCATTTTTTCACCGTTTTTCATCATTTTTTCACCGTTTTTCGCCGTTTTTTCACCGTTTTTCGCCGTTTTTTCGCCGTTTTTCCCCTTTTAACCGATTTCTGTGTTTTTCCCCCCATTCCAGAGCCCCCCAAGGACGCCGTTTCCCGATCCCGATCCCGGCTCCTTCTCCGGGCCCTGACCCCATTTTTTCCCCATTTTTCCCCATTTTTTCCCATTTTCACCATTTTCCTTATTTTCCCCCATTTTTAACCAATTTCACCCCATCTTTACCCCAATTTTTTCCCGTATTTTTTTCACCATTTTATCCACATTTCCCCCCCATTTTTTCCCCGTTTTTCGCCGTTTTTTCGTCATTTTTTCACCGTTTTTTGTCATTTTTTCACCGTTTTTCACCATTTTTCTTATTTTCCCCCATTTTTAACCAATTTCACCCCATCTTTACCCCAATTTTTTCCGGTTTTTTTTCACCACTTTATCCCCATTTATTCCCCATTTTTTCCCCGTTTTTCGTCGTTTTTTCGTCATTTTTTCGCCGTTTTTTGTCGTTTTTTCGCCGTTTTTTCACCGTTTTTCGCCGTTTTTTCGCCGTTTCTCCCCTTTTAACCAATATTTCCCTTTTTCCCCCCATTCCAGAGCCCCCTGAGGACGCCGTTTCCCGCTCCCAATCCCGGCTCCGGCGCCGGGCCCTCTCCTCGCTGGCGCTGCGGGAGCTGCGGGACGAGTTGGGGGAGGGGCCCCGGCAGGAGGGGGAGGGGCCGGGCCACGCCCCCCCCGCCCAGATCCACAGGTGGGAAATCCGGGAATTCCGGCGGAACGTTCCGGAATCCGCCCGGAACTCCTTTGGGAATTTTTTGGGATTTTTTGGGGATTTTTTTTTTTTTTTTTGGGGCGATTTTAACGATTTTTATTTTTTTTTTTTTGAATTTTTTTTTTTTTTTTTTTGAGCAATTTTAAGGGATTTTTATGGGATTTTTTTGGGATTTTTATGGGATTTTTNGATTTTTATGGGATTTTTTTGGGATTTTTATGGGATTTTTATGGGATTTTTTTGGGATTTTTATGGGATTTTTTTGGGATTTTTATGGGATTTTTTGGAATTTTTTTCGGGATTTTTTTGGCACTTTTTGGACAATTTTAGGGGATTTTTTGGGGATTTTTTTGGATTTTTATGGGATTTTTTTTGAATTTTTTTCGACAATTTTTGGGGGCAATTTTAAGGGATTTTTATGGGCTTTTTTGGAATTCTTTCGACATTTTTTTGGATAATTTTAAGGGATTTTTGTGGGATTTTTTTGAGTTTTTTCGACTTTATTTTTGGGGAATTTTAAAGGATTTTTGTGGGATTTTTTGGGGATTTTTTTTGAATTTTTTTAGGATTTTTTGGGGAATTTTTTTGGCACTTTTTGGACAATTGTAGGGGATTTTTTTGGGATTTTTGGGGATTTTTTAGGGGATTTTTTGGGGATTTTGTTTAAATTTTTTTAGGAATTTTTCGGGATTTTTTTTGGCACTTTTTGGACAATTTTCGGCAATTTTTTGGGGATATTTTGGGATTTTTTTGAATTTTTAGACTTTTTTTTTGGGGCAGTTTTAAGGGATTTTTATGGGATTTTTTTGGGTTTTTTTGGGGTTTTTTTGGGAAATTTTTTTTCAATTTTCGAGAATTATTTTGAAATTTGGGGAAAATTTTTAAGGATCTTTCAATATTTTTTTGGAGATTTTTGGGGAATTTCTTGGGTTTTTTGGGGGAATTTTTTCGGGAATTTTTTTGGAGTTTTTTTGGGAATTTTGGGAAAATTTTTTGGGTGAAACTTGGGGGATTCTGTTCCATTTCTGGGTCCATTTTGGGGTAAATTCGGGTGATTTTGGTCCATTTTTGGGTAAATTTGGGTGAATTTGTCCCCTTTCAGTGGAATTTTCCCAATTTTGGGGTAAATTTGGGTAAATTTGGGTGATTTGGTTCCCTTTCAGTGGATTTTGCCCAATTTGGGTCAGATTTTGGGGTAAATTCGGGTGATTTTGGTCCATTTTTGGGTAAATTTGGGTTATTTCATTCCCTTTCAGTGGATTTTGCCCACTTTGGGTCAGATTTTGGGGTAAATTCGGGCGATTTTGGCTCCGCAGGCGCCGCTTTGAGGAGTCGATGCTGCGGCGCCTCAGCGCCCCCTGGCGGCCGCCAAAGGGGGCGGGGCCAGGCCTGGATGACGTCACCAACCTCGGGGCGTTTCCCGCCCTTTTGGGAGCGGCCAATCAGGTGCGGGGGGCGTGGCCTGGGGGGGGAAAAGGCGGGAA